CCTTTGAAGTTGGTGAAGGACATGCGAGACCTTGAAACTACCCTGAGCAACTTTGAGAAGGAGAAACAATTGGTGGGCCACCTCTTCCATTTTTATGGCTATTTAGGGATTAAGCCTTTTTTTCTTTATTAAAGGACTGAAAACAACTACAGTGAACACTGTTATAACAAGGTCCTTGGGACTTCACAAATTACCTTGTTATAGCAGTTATTACCTTCTTTTATCGGTGATAGAAAAGAACAAAGACCTGGGATCAAAAAATGCCCTTGTTATACTCATAACGTTGTATACAGTGTTCTTGTCTGTGTTTGACTGTACAATCAAAAGCATAGTCAGCTTTATTGTTCAAGTTACAATCTTGTAGACCATGCAAAAGAGTCGTTTTATTTGTCTGCTCAGGTTGCATACTTCGCCAACATCGGGGGAGACGGTCTGAAGAGCATCGTGCGAAGTATCCTTACATGCGTCATCAGCAAGGACCTAGCACGACAGTATAACTGGGTCGGCAAAGGAACAAAAGAAGCATTTTGCAAGCTGAGGCTTGTTGCTGTTATCCGCAGTAAGTAATTGAATTGTATGTTTTAATCCCATGTGGGGCAAACTTATTGAAATCCTGCCATTCTAGTGTCTTTGCTCACCTTAACATTGATGAAAAAAAATCTTCTGGATTGTTTTCTAGGAGCTGTTCGAAGAAACCCATCCGTGCAGTCAGCCACAAATGCCGAAATTGACGAGGTGATCAAAGTGTGGCTCCGCTACTCAAAAGACCGAGATGGTGGCAGGGCAGCAAGACGAGCAGCCGCTGCAGCTGTAGCTGAACCTGCAGCAAGCAAGAGCCCTTCCAACCTTGATGAACTATCCACCGAGGAATACAGCAGCAACAGTGACAAGGAATGAGTGTTGTTTAGTGGTGTTTCATAAAAGATGTATTCTTCATTTAAACAGTTTATATAGTACCATTCAAAAGCCTTTGTTAAATTATAGTTGTGTTTTGAGATGACATCTTAAAAGTGTTACTGTGTTATTTTTCAGTGGATTCCATATGTTGAAATTGTGATTCTTTTGCAATGAACCCCAAAATTGTAAAAGTCTTGCTTCTTAATCGATTGTGTGATGACCAGTGTGGGTTGGTGCATAAAGCCTGATTTAGTTTTCATTTGGCATTTGAAACACTGGTATTTAGTGAATATCTACAATAAAACCTTGAAGTGTCATCTGAGAGATTTACTTCCAGTTACCAATCCGAGTGAAAGTCAAGTACACTAAGGCCTGCTGCAACCTAAGTTGCCTACAATTACCATTTGTAAAACATCCTTTGTGAACTTATTCTTGTGGAGGTTATTTTAATGTAAAACTTTGCATGATGTGGGAAACTTTCGAAAACAAAATTTTTTGTGACACCATTTAATAAGTGGAGCAACTGGTAATGCAAAACATATAAACTATACTACTATAAACATAAGTGTTTGATCTTCAACACTAAGTACTTTTTCAGAGAAATCCAAGCTCCTCTTCTGCAAGCAATGCTTGATAAATCCCTTGCTGGGATGTTAATAGAGGGAACTTGAAAAATATATCTGTCGTATTCCAATAGCCGTACACACTCATTAGTTTCTTGTCTATCATTGTTTAATTATTTACACTTGATGCTTTTAAGAACTACCACAGCCCACAGAAGTTAATAATTAGTTTGACTACAAAACCTGGTTTTATAATGCCGAAACCATGAAGCTTCTTCTTATATTACCCAAATAATGATTACAGCAAAGTTCCAAAGATTTGTTCTGCAAAGTGAGAGATTGCTCAGATTCATTTTCAGTTGTTGAGGTGACAACAGTTTGTTTTATTAAATTAGTGGCAATATTGCTGTTCACTTGCCGTTTACTGTTAAAGGTGTTTAAGTGTTAATATTTTTAATAGTTGTTATTAAGAAATATAACTGTTACGCTTTGAGCTTTGAACAATCTCAGGGACAATTCTTGTGTTAAAACTTTGTAATTGTTTTTGTTTGTAATTGTTTCTATAAGCCCATCTCAGAACAAATGCAGATAGAATAACTTAAACTGCATTGCTGTTTTTGCTATACAAAAGTTAACTTTTGACAGCCTTCCAAATACTCTGTGACTGCAATATCATTTTGTAAGAAAAATGTTAGCAGATTGGTTAAAACTTTTAATGCAATCAGAGTTATAATTTAGATTAAAGTCTATATACTATGATGATTTTACTATCTGTATAACAACCATGAGAAACGCAGATGTACAATCTCTCATTTAGTAAACTTATTTATAACTTATTTTGATCATTGGACCAATCAATCCGTAATGGTAAAAAAAAATCTCAGAAAGAAGTAAATGCAGTATCTTTTCTTTCTATTATAGCGTATTATAGGTAATACCCCCCATCAAAACATTTGTAATTATCATCTTAATGACAGGTTCCAAGAAGACGCGCGCCGAACAACCCTACAATTAACCGTCCTACCTGGCCCATCCATCAACCGATGATGGCTATATATGTTGGCCTGTGATTGGCCCAACTGAGACCAAACAATCGGCTCAACACAATTGGCCCAACCGTGCATGTTTAGTATTGGCCCAACCTTGGCTAGATGTTGGCCGTCGGTAGTAATGATCGGTCTGCTGTTGGCACAACTGCGACCCAATAATCCCCGATTCCTCATTGGCCCAACCATTAAATGTTGTCATTGGCCCAACGATGGGCAAAGGTCGGTCATTCTGTATAAGTCATCGGNCTCAACGTCAACCCAACATGTTGGCCCGACCGTGTGCCAATGAGCAAATCCAAATCGGGCCAATGTGGCACGCCGATGTCGGGCCAACGATTTAATCCTACGTTGGGCCAACGTAAGCTTGCTACCTGGGAAGTTCCTGAAATCATCCGCCTGCTTTTATACGTATTTATGGGGCTATTCAAAACTCTCAATGTTTTTAGAATTCCATTATTTCCATTTTTTTGTGAAACCCAATTTAGAAGCTGTTGATTGTGCTTTTAAACAGGTATGTAGGCTAACCCCATTCTAGGGCTAGTATACTGGACTCCCTCCTTTTCCTTGGAGGGAGTCCAGTAGACTGACCCTAGTCTGGGACTAGGCCGCCTACGTGTATCATGCCTTACCAGTAGTAAGTTTGGCCTACATGCATTGTAAGGCCTTTTGCAGTAGGCCTACTACTACGACCGTACATCATATCCCAAATTAGAAAAAGTGGAATAGACTTAGGCAACCGCTACGTTTGGTGTTTGGTACGTTTTTTTTGGCTGTTCTATCATGGGAAAGTTGATTCTGCCCAAGAATGGTTTGTCCAATTTTAACTAAATAGGTGCCAAAGTGACTGCAAAGAGTTTCTATACAAACCAAACTCAGAAAAAATCATGGTGTGAAATTATGCGCTGCGATGCTATAGAAAAAATTGTGTGCAGGGGGAAGGCTCTTCCTTCGGCCTATTGAGGGTTTAAATGCATTAACCAATAAAATACATGTAGGCCTATAAGGTATATTTGAAGAAAAGGTTAATAGTATTATAGTAACAGTTAAGTCAATCGTTTTAATTTTTCCCCATAGACCACAATATAAATTTTTGCCCCTTTGAGGTCCGTGTGTGAAATACGGAAAGTCATAAAAACACCAGATGTCATCCAGACCAAGTCAATAGGGTTGGGTTCTTTTCATCACGGAGAAAACTAGTGGGGACGATCGAAAGAGATTTCTTCTATTCCTAGCCCATCCTTTAAATATTTTTAAATTCTTTCAGATTCTCTGTACTCATTCAGGTGGGCTCCTCATAAGGGCTAAAAAGATGACAGGGTTCCTTGTTTCTCAAGGTGTAATGGTGCCTGAGGCCCGTTTAGGGAAGTTTTTAAGAGAAGCACACCTGCCTTACTATCATTCCAGACTACAAGTGCGTAGTCAGCAGCATCCAATCAACATTTTTTCATTTGACGGTTACCAAGACTGCTCGGCATATTACTTTGCGCCAGACTCGATCACCCGCCGCTCCATCATCCACTCTATGAGCTTTCGTGTTCTCAGCTTTCGTGGTGTCTTGTACTGGTTGACAGAAGCCGTGGTGTGAGACACAGTAAAGTCCCGTAACTCTGAGAAGGTGCCTGGCCTGACAAGTTTAACCTGGGCTGGAGAAACAGTGTTGGACCCACGCAAAAATTTGTAGTAGGCATGTTCTTGCTGAAGACATTCGTCAAACTAAATAGAAAGGAGAAATAAGACCTTTGACTTCCACATTTCAGACGAACAGCGAAACGGGAACCGTATGCATTGTCATTTTCTGCTAAGCCGCAAGAATTGTTGACAAATCTAAATAATGTCCGCCCCTGTAATTTTATGGTTGCGCCCGCGCTTCCATTCGATATTCATTTGGTTGAAATTGCTCTTTATCCAACGGAAAATAATGACAATAAATTGGACACAATATAATTACCTTGGCCTTTTGTTCTTGGGTGACATTCAGTTCCCCCTCGCCCGGATCGACCTCAACAAACAAGATGTAGTACAGCTCTGTCAGAAAGAAATGAAAAAGAGCTCAGAAAAAAATATAAAGAGGTTTCTCCATTAAAACTTAAGATTTTAAGCGTATTTTTTAGTATCTCGTGAAGTATTAATCGTACTGTTTGATCCCGGTTTGTTTCCTAGAGGGACTTTTTCGAGGCTTACCTGAATTGTTTGGATCGTAAAGTGGGCTTTCGGCGACTGTCCACTCCACCAAATGAATTCCAGGCCAGCTTTCAAAAGTGACCTTCATAGCGTTGCGAATGACTTGTGTGTTCATTTTCTCAGAAAACAAATTCACATGCTCCCCTGTCCTGAAAAAAGCAACACACAAACGTATAAAAGATTTATCGAAACGCTACATGGTTCAGATTATTGTTGATAAACACTTTGCGTTGCAATGTTTCAATCTGACGTTTTCTTTTCTGCTGGAGTATTGGTGCGCGTTTATGAACAGAACCAATCAACATTTAGAGACGTGTTTCCCATTTTGTTTGTTGAAGAGAAATGACTGATGTAACCCTTGCTTAGAAAATTGATAAGAAAATTGAGTAGACACCTGCAACTTTTCCGAGTAAGGGTTGCAATTTCTTAAGTCTCATTTTGGTTCAGTTATCTTTGGCTTGACTTTTCTTCTGGTAATTACCTGTAGAGCATGCGCATCACTGGACAGTTCTCGTGAAATCCCACAATCTGAATAATGTCTCCATTCCTATAGCGGTAGAGTCCAGAGCGCGTGGTCATCACCAGTTCATATCTGGCACCAACCTCCACCTCATCAATGAGAAGAGTCTTGGGATCTTCATCCAAACTACAAAAACAAGAAGGACATGGGGAACTGTTTGGTTAATACCACTTGGATCATCTCTGTTCTATGTACTTTAAATGTTGCTTCCCTTTCATTATAGATAAAAACAAAGCAGGAATATAATCAGGCAGTACACTGCTTTAGTGACACTTTGATCATTAAGGTATTTCATACTTGTTCTCCTCTGGAATAAACTCAAAAACTGCCGAGATGGGAAAGAAAACATATTGTGGTTCTTTCTCATGAATCCACAGGTTGGCCGCCATGACTCCTCCCTCAGTGCCACCGTAGCCCCAGCTGACGCAAGGAACACCTTTCAAAGAGAGAACCATGTAAGAATATCTGCCATTTTGCCTGAAACAGCTTGCAATCACCCTTAACCTTGCAATTCTGATTTCCTGCTCATTTTTCATAGCAACGTTAACACAATGCTAATTTAAACTTTAAATAATCTGAAACGTGCTTTCGTTTGTCGTTCCTGGTCATTGCTTTGTTCTGACAAGCGCTATGTTTTGTAAGTATTTGAATATTTGGTTCCAAGTTCAATACAGACCTGTATTTTGGGTGCCAACACTTGGCACTCATCACGTCAGAGGTATGATAATGCAAAGCCGTTTTGCTGCAGCAGACACGGGTTTTGCCGTGAAATTTCGGTAGAGCTGAGTAGGCCTACACGTACACTCGGAAACACAAACAGTAACGGTCTATTTACAATATAAATCCTTACCAAAGCTGTATGTTTCTTCTAACTTCTCCCGAAAACCCAAGATATCAATTCCCTCCGTGGCCACAAGATGAGGCCAGATTCTCTTCACGATGCCATGAAAACCTTTTTCGAATTCCCTTCTTAGCTGGGAGACGCGGGCCGGGTCAGGTCTGAGGTAGTCTTCGAGGGACCGGCGTACATCGGGGATCAGTGGGATCTTTGAATTGATTTGACCGGTAGATAAGTCCTCCAACATTGCTGGCCAGTTGGTCTCCAGAGACTTCAGAGCTCGAAAGAGTTGAGGTGTGAACATGGAAGAAAGCAGAGCCAAATTAGGGTCATCAATCGCGAACAGCATATGAACATACATAGCAGAAGGCTCATGGGTGATGGTGAAAGCTAGCGGAGGGGAGCTGAGATCAGATAAACGCTTGAAGTCCCGATGATGGATGTAGGTGTAAGGAGTAACAGGCTGATCACTTTTGGTAAATAAGGCTTTTTTATGGGTGTAGAGAAGACCGCGCTTCTGGACTGGGCTGGGCGTGTGAGTGCCTCGATACATGGCTAAACGTGAGATTATTCTGGTCTGGGCATCCCCCTCAATCCAGAAGTTAACCAACGGTATTTTCTTCCCGATACCGGTGGTTCCAGAGGTGACAGCAAATCGTACGGGCTTCTCGTCAAGGAAGAGCCCTTCCTCCCCGTCAGCTAGTCGCTGGATGTAATCCTTGAAGTGATCGTAGGTGGTCAGGGGATGCTTCTTACGGAGATCGTCCAAGGACTGGATCTCTCCAAGACGGTTCTTGCGCCCGTACTCCGTCTTGGCATGTCGCCTGGTCAGCTCCCGAATCAGATCTTCTTGGGTTTCTCGTGGATGTTTCCACGTGTGGTTGGCCTTTACCCAGATGAAGGGCGTGGCTAGTCGTTCCCCTTGGTGTCGTTTGTAGGACAGGAGTAGACTGGTGAGCGTGTGGCTCGCAGAACATCGAAGGGACGAGATGTGGAAGGCAATCAAGGAAGAAATCAGGGATAAAACGCCCACGGTTCCTGTTCAAAAATTATGGAATACATGTAAAGATACTATTTTTGCTGTTGGGCTGTTTTTATTCTACCAGTTTTTATTCTACCATATGGCAAAGTTTGTGGCAAGATAACTGTGAACCCTTGCCAGGAGTAGACTGGTTAGCGTGTGACTCTCATAACACGGGAGAGACGAGATGTGGAATGCAATTGAGGAAGAAATCAGGGATAAAACGCCCACGTTTCCTGTTCAGAAATGATAGAATAAAATGTAAGGATACAATTTTTGTGTTGTTTTTGGTCAGGGCTGCTTCTTCCATATTATGTTATTTGATCAGTGAAGTCGTTGCCTATCAGACGTGACTTCTGAACTAATCTTTTGCGTTGAAGAGAGGTTCAGAGTATGGGAGATTTTGCGCCCTTAAAGTCCCGATTGTATCATTTCCAATTTGCAACAAACATTACTATGATCACTTAAATTTGAAACTGCTCGCCCTAAATTAAGCTCACCTGCAAGTACTCGGAAGGCGAGTTGGTTCTGGGAAGACAAGCAAAAACTGAACAAGATAGCAGCTAGGAGGGATGAGATCACTCCCCAAAGTGCACAGCGAAAATTCCATGTCGACACCATTTTGACTGGTTCTTGAGTACAGAGTTACAGTGTAATTACTGTGGACGTTTTGGGGCGTTTCAAATTCCTCTCCTCAGTCAGCCTAATCGTTCGTGCCAAGCAGGGTGCCTAGGGTGACTCAATCCAAAGTAAGCAGGACTGACGATAACGCTACTTGGTGGATGCCCTCTGATTTAGGGTTATCAATTTGAGCATTGTTTGGACCAATTATGGCGTACACTGTGCCCCTTGCACCCTGCTGCAGGAACATTCAATCTGCTATAAAAGTCTACAAAAGATCTCATAAAACTGAAGACTTTAAAACTGATTCAGTGTAAAAAAAGACCTATAACACAGTGATGAGAATGAACTTTAAAGCATTAAATAAAAACGTGGAAACTGATGATTAATGTTGGCAGAAACCGTCGATGTGGTACTGTTCATAGTCCGTGCTCAGGTTTGAACGCATGGTTTTTAATTAAAATGCACCATCCCTTTTTTAGCTAACGCTACGTCATTTAAATGATCACGAATCAGTTATTAATACGTGTCATGTCCTAGATTAAATCACTTGAACAGATGGACGAGGTTCTGAAACATCCAGTTACTTGCGTAGTCGCAGGACCGACTGGTCCCGGAAAGACTCAATTTGTTAAGGAATTACTTGCTCCGAGCGGGAACTCGTCCGTCATTGTTCCTTTTCCCGAGCACGTGATTTGGTGTTACGGCAAATATCAAGATGCTTATAACCATCTGGCAAGTGTTGCCCCTTACATACATTTTGTGGAAGGTTTTCCGGAAGATCTTCTTTCCTCGTTGGACCGTTCGCAGAGAAACGTGGTTGTGATAGATGATCTCATGTCGGAATCCGGCAACAACAAGAAGGTCACCGAACTTTTCACAAAGGGTAGCCACCACAGAAATTTAACCGTTGTTTTCATTCTGCTAAATTTGTTCTACCAGGAAAAGAGATGAGGACAATCAGTCTGAACTCCCATTACATGGTGTTGTTTAAAAACCCTCGAGATGCCTCCCAAATCATTCATCTCGCCAAACAGATATATCCTGGAAACTCCAAGTTTTTAATAGAAGCCTACCGCGACTCCACATCGTCACCTTACGGCTACCTGATGCTGGACTTAAAGCCGGACACGTCGATCTGAGGAGATGAGATTAAAAACTCACATTTTTCCAAACAAATACACCGTTGTCTATGTGCCCAAGGCTTAAATAAGAAGATCCAACGTGCGCGGCAGTCATTTGAAGATGTCCAGGCGGCTGAGAAACCACGCTTCGTTCCTGCGCATTCTGGCCCAGTGCGCTCCGAAACAACGACAGACCATCGTGCAAGGGGCCAACAGGGAGCTCGTTGCCTGTTTGTGCGAGTGTGCCCTCAACATTTTAAACGGTAACATTCCCCTCACACCGAAAGAAACGAGAAAACTTAGAAGGTACAAGCAGCAGATGAGACACCTAGCGGATAAGAAGGTCGGCGTGCTAAAAAAGAAAAAAATTCTCCGTCAGAAGGGGGAATTCCTTGGAGCTTTGCTTACACCGATACTGGGCGCTCTGGGTGGCATGTTGTTCAAATAAGAAATATGGAGCACGCCAAGAAGATGGTTTTGATTCCCCACGAGACCTTAAACCGATTACAAGCAGCTAGACGACTCGAACAAACCCCCATCACTAGAGTCGTGCACGGACTTGACTCTGAAATGAGACGTCATCTGGAGAGACAAGATATAAGAGCAGAAGAAAAATTAAAACTCTACCACCAAACCCTGGAATCGAAATCATCGGACCACCCCCCTCGCCTTGAAAAACAAACGGGTAAGATCGAATCCGTTTCATTCAGAACAGAAACAGAACTCCCCAATCTGGATCCTGAGGAAGGAGTGGAAGAAAAAACCCTTTGCCACTACTGCGCCCGACAGAGATGAAGATTTGGGGCTGTCCTCTTTATTTGCAGAAGCTTCGCATCTACCAGATGCGTCCCCCAGCAGGTCCGAGTTTGGAAAGCTGCGTAAAAAGAAGGGGAAGGGGAAGAAAGCCGAACGGCCTGCCACTACCCGTATGAAATGGACACCATATTAAGCACCGTGACCTTCTGAACTGAGCTCATTTTTAAGTTGCTCTTCATCTTGGATTGTTGTCCTCCAAGACAACAGTGCAGAATCGCCAACTATTAAAAACGGTGCGTTGTGTACTGTTGTGTTGCCGCAGCACACTCATCATCGAACACCACGAGAGTACAGATGGGAGAGACATACCTGAAAAAAGTGTATCACGACCCGCGGCATTCGGCGGTGTAGAGGCTGTTTACCGTGCTGCCTTAAAAGACAG